AATAATAATAATAATAATAATAAAACAGATTTTAAGACAGAATTTTTTTTTAAATAGAAATTTTCTCACTTTTGGGACAATATGGTCTTAAAAGTACATTGTTTTTAAATGTTTAAGACAGAATGATTTGACATCTAACTATGACTTCCCTATGACTTTAAACACATTCTTATTGTTTTAGAAATGATATAGAATGGTGTTGATAGCAAAAGCGGTAAATGTTATATCACATAAACAATGACCCCTCACACCCCCACCATGGACTGTTCTCACTGCTGTCCTCTAGAAAGAGGCTTCACAGCATTCACTGCAGGTTCAGCAGATTCTGAAACAGTTTCATCATGTCACAGACTCTGCATCAAACTGACCGTATCAATGGACCATGTTTATTCTCCCACACTGTTTACATTTGATCCCTGCTGCACTTTAAGAAAATAGAAATGCCACGAGAACTGTACAAAATTAAATTTTGTTTTGAATACTCTGTGTAAAAAATGACAATAAAGTTTGTCTAAGTCTAAGTCTATCCATTGAGCAGAGAATATATTCCTCGGAGACTGACTGTAGCATGTGGACTAAAACGTGTCTCCAAACAAGTTTTCATTCCAATATATCTTTCTACCCAGTCTCAACATTTTAGAGCATCCATGCATAAGAAATATGAAAACATTATAAATATGTTTAAAAGCTCAATTTTTGCTCATAAAATCAATGCGTTTTCTCATCAGTGTGCGAGGGGGGAGGTATTTCTCAGCTGGTTAGGTGAAAATGGGGACGAGCACGTAGGACAGCCTTACGTAAACACATCAGCAGAATGATTGACAATTAGGAGAACCACTTATTTAGATGATCCACATGGGGAAAAAAAAATCCTCCACTATACCTTTAAACATTAAACACTTGATCTTAAACACGCATGTAAACCAACAACTGAATACAAAAATGCAGCAAGAAGTCATTCAACACAACATGCAGCAAATAAAAAGAGACTAATAAAAATGTTGCCTCTTTTATCAGTTAGTTTTTAGGTTTTCTAGGAAAGAGTTTGTCTCTGCAGTCACATCAGAGTCTTCTCTAAAGATAAACAGCATTGTATTTAGTTGTTTTGCATTCAATGTATAAATTGTGTAGAACAATAAATTCATTTAAACAGCACAAATGTATTTACATCCTTTATCGACAAGGACCCTGATGAAAATCTGGTCTCTCTTCAGTGATTTATTTGGAAAATATTGATGCTGTGCGAGTTTATTTTGATCAGTATAGATTCTCTGGAACAGTCACTGGTCAGGCATCATCTTAATGTGGCCACCTCTAAAAATCCCTTAGCCACCCCAGCCAACTTTTGCAAAGTACAATGTGCAATTTACCATTTGATAACCTGTGTGTGTGTATATATATATATATATATATATATATATATATATATATATATATATATATATATATATATTAAACCAGTAACCAGTTAATTTCATCACTGTTATATCAATAAAGCCAATCAATCAATAATTTAGCCTATATATATATATATATATATAT